ACCTTATTAACTTCCTAATAAAATAAAATTTTAGCCCTAGCCAGTTTTGCTCAGTGGATAGAACTTTAGCCCTTGGACTGAAGGGTTCTGGGTTCAGTTCTGGTCAAGGGCACATACTTTGGTTGTGGGCTTGAACCCCAATATGGGGCATGCACGAGGAAGCCGATCAATGATTCTCTCTCATCATTGGTGTCTCTCTCTCTCTCTCTCTCTCTCACTCTCTGAATTCAATAAAAAATATATTTTAAAAAGTAATTATTATATAATTGTCCAAGTGTCCTGGCCTAACCACAAATGTCCTTACATTCATATGAGGAGTGGACTTCAGCCCCAGGGGTTTTGCACTATGGGGATTTTTCTTAGAATTTTGTGCAGATAGTGGGGGCAGGAAATGCTGGGGTTAGAGCAGAATCCTTGCTTTTGCTCATTCCCTACAAAACAGCGTAACCTCATTGTTTCTCCTGTAGAAGCCCCATTTCTTTTACTGGCTTTTTCTTCCCTATGTGAACATCTCTGAAAAATTTGCTGATCATCTCTTTTCCATTTCTGCCTTCATATGTTTTGACCTTTAGGGAATTTTTATTATTTTATTTATTTATTTATTTTTTAAACTATTTTTTTAAATATATTTTATTGATTTTTTACAGAGAGGAAGGGAGAGGGATAGAGAGTTAGAAACATCGATGAGAGAGAAACACCGATCAGCTGCCTCCTGCACACTCCCCACTGGGGATGTGCCCGCAACCAAGGTACATGCCCTTGACTGGAATCGAACCTGGGACCCTTGAGTCCGCAGGCCGATGCTCTATCCACTGAGCCAAACCAGTTAGGGCGACCTTTAGGGAATTTTTAAAAATCACCACTTAGTGCCTTTATGCCAGATCTTTGAAGGAAGCAACAAAAAGTTAGAAGTTGCCTGGAAGATGCAACCTGAAATGTCAGCCAATCCTGGTTATTCTGACAAATTGGTCAGCTTATTGAAGATTTAAGTTACACAAAGACATGAAATACAAAGCTACCTTAGTGTGCTTTAAGGCCTTTATTGATGTGTGTGTGTGTTTTCAAATCATAAGTTAGATTTACTATTTTTTGGTATTTCGGTAAATAATGTCCATCATTTTTCCTAGTTTCTTTTGTAAATGCAAAATTGGACAGAAAGAATATCCTGGTGCTGTAGGTTCTACTAAACGGAAGGCAAAACAGTTGGCTGCTAAACTTGCATATGAACAGATACAATTAGAAAAAAGCTCAACGGTACGTACTGCCTTTGGATGTATTTCTTGTACTTTATAATTTTCTCTCAAATTGCTTTGAGGTTTGACTGTGCTTGCATGATGTCAAGACAACCAATCACATAGCAAAAAGATTCCTCGATTCCGTGTCCCACCTGTGTCCCATGCGTTAATCTCCTAATTGTGTGTGGCTGTGGATTTGGTAAATGTGGAGGAATGGATGTGGCAGTTAGCACACGGAGACCGAGCCACTGTGGAGAAGCATTTAGCTGTAGTTACACCCCCTGAGGGGCTCTCTTTCTTCCAGAAAGGTGATTTGGGATCCGCTGACGCTCCCCTGGCTGGGTCCAGTGACTGTGGGAGCAGCTTCTCGATGGCACCGTAAGTGTGTACAGACAGCTGTGATATTTAAGAAATTCAAATTGCTGCCTGAAAGAGCACATTTTTATGAAAAATGTTTATTGTTTAAAAAGAATTTAGGGAAATAAGTTACTTACCAACAAAAATAGACAGAATTCATAAACTAATAATTCCTCCCTTTTCTTCTAGCAATTCTGAATCATCCTCTGAAAGTGGCTTTTCAGGAAATGGATCAGAGAGAAATTATAACAGTGACAGAGTTAGTAATGCTCTTTCATCTTCTGTGGTACAGTATTTGTCTCTAAACTTCCTAGTTAGTCTGAATCCCCTTTGTGCTTCCTCATTTAAAAATGACCTTCAACCTAATTTTTCTATTTTTATCTCCTGTGCTCTCACTACCTAATAATATTTGGGGCTTTTGACTCTCTTCTTTCTTTATGAACCCATGTCCCTCACATGTAGAATTCTCCCACTTGTCACACCCATCTTTCTCTCCCTATTGGCCTTCATATTTTCAAATATTCCTGTGATCTTGCTTTTTATCTTATATCAGCTGAACAGTAACTAAAAGATTCATTCATATAGCTCTGCTTCTGTTTTTAAAAAATCAGAACTAAACTTAAATAAAAATGAAACAAATAAGATAAATTTTGTGGTAATGATTAGTGTTACAAAAGTTATATTTATAAGGAACTACAAATCAATAAGAAAAAGACAACTCAGTGGAAAAATATGCAAACAGTCTGCACAGAAAATTCAGAGAAGAGATACCCAGATGGTCAAATAACATATGAAATGATATACAATTCAAAAGAACAGTTAGATGCTATTTTAAACTCATCAAGTTGGTAAAATTTGAGTCTGGCAATAGTAAGTATTGACACAGCTATGTTCTCTTATCCTATATAATAAAACCCTAATATGCAAATCGACTGAATGGCAGAATGACCAGTCACTATGACTCTCACCGACCACCAGGGGGCAGATGCTCAATGCAGGAGCTGCCCCCTGGTGGTTAGTGTGCTCCCACAGGAGGAGTGCTGCTCAGTCAGAAGCCGGGCTCGGCTGGCGAGCGCAGCCGAGGAGCAGGCCTAAGCCGGCTGTCATACATCCCCCAAGGGGTCCTGGACTGCGAGGAGGCACAGGCTGGGCTGAGGAACTCCTTCCAGTGCACGAATGTTGTGCACTGGGCCTCTAGTAACTATTATATGCTGCTGGTGCAAGTAGAAATGAGTACAACCATTTTGGAGAACAATTTGTCAACATGTAGTAAAGTTGAGGGTGTACATGCTATAATGCCAAGGAGTTCCCTTCCTGGGGATATTTCCTAGAGAAACACATGCATGTGTGCACAGAGAAACAGGTATAAGAATATTCTGTGCAACATTGGTTGTAATAAGAAGAAATTAGAAAAAAACATTGCTCATGAACAGAATGGCTAAATTACTCTGTAGTGAAGTCACCATGCAATACTGAGGCTGGCGGGTGATATGAGCACAAGAAACTTAGTCTGATGCTCCCCACTCTGTATTTAGGTTGAAAAAGAAATCCACAAAATCTACCAGAATAATAGTGAATATGAATGAAAGTAGTTATGTGACATTAATTTTTGAGAGATATATTGAAGACTCCTCTTTTTTGCTAAATATAGAAATTAATTTGTACTAAAAATGAAATATCAGCATTGCAGTTTTTAACTGGTGATCAGATCAGAAACCCTTGGGGGAACTGTTTTAAACTAGATTCCTGGGCTCCATCTGTGTCGTGATTAGCGCTGTGACTGATGGGATGCACGCCTTCTTGCTGAGCTCTGCTGGCCAGAGGATCAGCAGGGAAAGCCATCTTCTGTACCTGGAAAATCAGTGCTTCTTCAGAACATGCCCAACAATTGGCCATATCTGATCTGGGTGCTATAATAGAAGAAGAACATTGATACAAGCCAGTGAGCTGGGTAGCAAGGGTTTGGATGAAGGTACAATGATTGATGAGCTTATGGACAAGGACTTGGGTTAACAAACGCTGGTAGAATAAAGATGTAAAAGAAGCACTAAAAATCATATAACTCCGGGCGAGGGGGGATAAGTTGAAGGTGGCGATCGGAGCT